TGGTCAGTGTGCTCTTTGGATACCAGCAAGGAGGACGAGGGCAAGGGGCGGGGGGTTTACCTTGTGCAGAGCGTCTTCGGGGATATTGGATGACATTGTTGAGCGGCGAACGAGGGTGCAGCGGGACGAGGGCAGTGACTTGATATCTTGGGTCCAGAGGTGTGTGCGAGTGGTGGCGAAACGGCACGAGGTGGGAAAGGTGGTGTTAAGCGGCCGCGGCTGGGTGATGATGGAAGTACGGATGGAGGATGGAGGATGGGTATGCCTTCGCCTCGTCGTTGGAAGAAGCAGCGCGCGACAAAAGAGGGCGAGGAGGTCCATGCGCGCCGAAAAGTGTCACTTTCACACGCCCTCATCGGGCCACAGATCGGGGCCCGCACCACCCGACACACGCACGGACACACACAGGTCAACGCGCGAGTGCTGCAACACAAGACAAGGCAAAGCAGGAAGGACATGCTACGATGCTGATGGTGACGGTGACGGTGACGACGGGGGGATTCGACTACGACACGAGATTAGTCCCGGCCGATCAAGAATTAGTCCCGGCCGATCAAGAAAAGAAGAATTCCGCAAAGGGACCGCCAATGACAAACGCTACGCTCCCTTCGCCGTCCTCCGGATGCTCTGAAGCCGGTAGCCCCAGTATCGCTTGCGCATCGGGTCGGCCGTACACAGCCGCGTGACGAGCTGCGTCGTCGTCGGCGCCAACGCCGTCGAGGCCGCAAAGGGCAGAGCAAGAGCGAGCCAATCTGGTCAGTCTCGGACGCTTTGCTCCCATCTTTGCCCGCAGCGACGCGGCGGCAACGACGACGACGACGACGACGACGACGACGACGATGACTCACCTTTTCCGCCTCGTCAACCGCCCTCTCCCTCTCGCCGGCATCGACGGCAGCACCGCCGGCGGCGCGACCGGCCTGGAGACGCTCCTCGATGCAGTCGAGGCACCATTCAATGGCCTGCGGCGGCGAGCGCCCAAACTGGTCCACCGTCGGGTCCCGCTGCGCCTCGAACGGCGTCGAGATGAGGCTCTTTGCAAACGAGAGCGAGTCGCTGAGCGGCGTGCGCACCGGCGACGCAATGTGGATCCTACCGTGTCATTCCCCCGGCCCCCAGCAGGTAGGAAGAGGCAGTGATACGGAGAGGTGTCAGGCGGCGGCGTCTGAGGGGGTTGGTGCGCGGTACTGCGACGACTCACCCTCGGAGGTAGTTCCATGCGCTGGCATTGTTGGGCGCCAGTGCGATCTGCGCTTTTGTGAACCTGGCAAACGCAAGGAGTCGAGCACAGCCGTGGCGTGCACCCGTCAGTCGGCAAGCTCAACATGTCCGGATGCTCTGCACAGACCCACCATGCTCACCCAATCTCGGCCTTGACGAGCTTGATCAGCTCGGACTCCCACTGCGCAGCGGCGTCGGCGTCGTGCGGCCTGGCTCCGCGCCGTCCGAAGATGCAGAACCAGCGGTGGTTCCAGGCGCTGTTGTTTCTCACATCCTCGACCAGCAGCTTTTCGGCATAGTCGAGCTCGCCGTCCCACAGCTGCGGAAAGGCCCCAGCTCCCGGCCCGGCCGCCCCTGGCGACGTCGCCGCCGAGGCCGAAGCCGAACCGAGCCCGCCAAAGTGGGCGAGGACCCATTGCCGGTAGGCCCAGGTGTGGTAGTTTTTGCTGTCACGCGCTAGATTGTCGGCGATAAAGGCCAGCTCCAGGCTCGGGTCGCCGAGGGCCGATACGATGAGGCGGCGGTGTTGCCTGCGGGATTCGACATGGACGGCGGGGGCAGGAGGGAAAGAGGCGGTGTCAGGCGCGGCTCAATACTGACCTGGCGAGCGCGGGCGTGTTCACAAGTCGACTCACCATACCTGGTAGCTCTTCATGTTTTCGTGTGCCAGAAGGTCGAGGAACTCGAGCTCCCTTCGGAGGATGCGTTTCCTCTTGTCGTCGTCGCTGCCGTCTTCGTCACCGTCGTCATCGCCGTCGTAGGGGCTGCCCTCGATGAGGATCTTTGCCCTGTACTGCCAGATGCTGTAGTGGGACGGGTTGAGGCGGACGAGGTGCTCGGTGAGTGCGAGTGCGCGCGCCGAGAGTTCGAACGGGTGCGTGCGCGGGCCGGCCGGTGTGACGGTGGATCCGGATACGAGGGAGCGGTAGAGGTCCATTGCGGCCGAGTATTCTGGCTTGTACATGATGGGGCAGAGCGGGTTGGCCGACTCGTGCTGGTAGGTGGGCTGGATGTCGGCCCAGACTGGGTCGTCTGGGTTAAAGGGGAGGTAGCGCGAGCCAGAGCTGGCGCTGGCGCTGGCGCTGGCCGTGGCGGCAGACATGCTGAGCAGGGCGGAGCGAGGGGGACGAGGGGGACGAGCTATGGTCGGGACAGCGAGTATGGTGGTGATGGTGGTGTTGAGGAGGAGGGGGAGGGGTGAGGCGAGGGAAGAGAGAAAGGAGTCAAGAGCAGCGATGGTCTCGGCGGGCCTGACCGCGTGCTGGAGGTGGCTGCCTCTTTTGCGGTTCTCCTGATGTCGACGGGTGCCAGGCAAGAAGACGGTGTGGTGAACAAAGGGAACCTCGAGGAGGAACGTCGAACCTGGCCAGCATGGTTCCCACCTTTGGTCGCTCGCCCGCGCCGACGGGACAAAGGGGGTCACTCACCCTCACGGCGAGTGGAGGTCACGTGGGGCCACGACCCGATGGCGGTTGAAGCTTCCAGGCCGGCAATGGTTCTTGGACCGCCGAGCATTCGGGTGCCATGATGGCGGTATGGCCTCGAGGCCCGACAGGAGCAGCCAAGGCTCTGCGCAACGAGATCGTGGTGCGGAACCGGGACGCAGGCAGGGCAGGCGGGGTGGCGCCGCTTCAAGGCCGACGAGGCGCACGGCTCAGTTGCAGCTGCAGCTGGCGGGCGCACCCCCTCACCCGACCCGCTTCCAACTGTCGGCCAGGCAGCCCTCTGTCCACCTTGGATTTACCCACCCTCCTCCGCCTCCTCCTCNCNCNCTCGTCTC